TATAATATTTAAACAAAATTATTTCTTATCAAAGTAATAATTCCCAAATAGCTACAAGTATAAATTACTAAATAAACTCATTAATTAATATGTCCTTGTGATGTAGTGGTAAGCGCACAGGATTTAGTAACTAATAGACCGATGTTCGATTCCTGCTAAAGGCAGCGTTTTTTAGTTTTCAAAAAACACGTTGGATTTACATCGGAATGCCGACGTCGCGCGATGTCAGTTTATCCGACGTCAAATAACATTTCCATTTCCAACGTAAACCCAACGTCGATCCGACGTCGAGATCCGACGTCGCTCGACGTTCGTTCGACGTCGAAATGCCCACTGGGTATCTAATCGATTTTTAAAAAAATAAATCAAGCTACAGAAAAAGTTGAAATTTATGTCCAATCGCAACCAGGTTTAGTTGATATGTACGGCCAACTTGCCCCGCCAAAATTTTGCCAACTAACCCCGACAACTATTTGGTCACAAACTCCCCTACCGATCCCTGAAAAATATATATAAATAAAAAATAATGGTTGGATAGATTTTACTGAACCATTCAAGATATAACTCAAATCAAGTTTACGTGTACTTGATAAAATTGCTTTTAAAGATCGAAAAAATAAAGAAGTTGTAAAAGTTACAAAAATGTGGAAAAAACACATAAATCACAATATCTTTTATGCGCATGCGCAAGTCCCCACATTACTACAGTGAAAGATGAAATGGTCAACTAAGAAGGTTTTCTGAAATTATTGTCACTTTTTGATGAAAGACTTTGCAGATAAACGCAATTCGTCAACTTACCCCTGCTGCCAACTAGTCCTGGTCTCCCCTAACCTAAAAAAAGAAATTTGCGAATTAAAAAAAACTATTGAATTTATAAGTGTAAAATACGATAGCATTAACATCGAACTTGCAGAGCAAAAAAAGAAAACAAACACAGTAGCTAAACAAAGTGACAGCTTAAACGAAAATTGTACCAACCTAAAAAATAGTGACATTGAAGATAAACTTACAGAGTTACAAGATCGAAGCAGGCGAAGTAATTTAAGATTCACAGGAATTGAAGAAGAACCAAATGAGACATGGGGAGAAAGTGAAAGAAAAGTTCAGGTATTTTTAAAATCAAAACTTGGGTTTACAAATGATGTAGAAATCGAAAGAGCCCATGGAACGGGAAGGAAAGCTTCTGATGGAAAAAAAAGTAGAACAAAAGTTTTTCAATCACAAAGATAAAACTGCAGTATTGGATCGATTTATTAAACTAAAACTATGGAACGAAAAGGTTTACGGCAATGAAGACTTTAGCGACAAAACGATTGAAATAAGAAAACGGCTATTTAAAGAAGCGAACGATTTGAGATCAAAAGGTAAATTTGCTAAGGTAATTTATAATAAACTTATTACTCGTGATTTTTGATTTTCAAAAAAAAAAAAAATTTTTCTATCAAATAGTTATAAAAATTAAAATGGATTCTAATTACCCAAACAATTTTGAATCAATCTCATGTAATTTATTTCAAACAAATGATTTAGTTATTGACATTGATTCAGATCCAGACATAAATTACTTTAATGATTCAGTAGCATTGCAAAGCAAATGCTCGTATTTTTATAACAAGGAAATAAAAGAATTTTTAGGACGGGATCATTTTAATGTTGTTCATCTTACTTAAATCTCCACCTGGGAGGCTTTAAAATGATCCCGCTAGCACGAAAATCAAATAAACAAGGCGGTGGTGTACTTTTTTATATAAAAGAAAACTTGCAGTATATTATTAGGCCTGACATGAGTAACTCTGATGACAATAAGTCTTCACAATAGGGATTAAAACCAGTAACACCAAAAATATACTTTTGAGTTGCTGTTATCGCTCGCCATCTGGCGTAATAGAAAATTTCAATACATTCTTATTTAATAATATTTTGAGAAAAGGTTTGAAGGAAAAAAAACTTGACTATTTATTTGGAGACATAACTCTAAATTGTTTTGAATATCAAACTAATAACAACATAAAAACATTTTATGACGGTTTATTTCAGAACGACGCTATTCCATTAATAAACAGACTAACAAGAGTAACAGAAACATCAGCTTCCGTAATAGATAACATAATAACAACTAATATCTTTAACAATTCGCTTAAAATAGGTATAACAAAAAATGACGTGTCTGATCACTTCCCTATTTTCTTTTCTCTAAATCTTGTTACCGAAATAATACAACAACAGAAACAAATTTTCCTCAAACACTTTTTCAATGAATAAAATATCGAATCATTTAACTATTAACTATCCCTACTTAACTGGAAAAATATCGACTCTACATTAGAAGCAAACGTAGTCTATTACGAAACGTAGTCTTCTACGAAACATTTTATGATATCTATGACGCAAATTTCCCGAAAATCAAAATAATTACAGTCATTCTGGGTAACTTTGAAAATTTGCGGGTAACATTGAACTAAACGTGTAAATGTTTTTAAATTTTTTTTTTCTTTGGTATTTTCTTTGCCTGTTGCTTTAACAAAGAATAATATGATGAATTATCTTTTTTTACAAAAGTTTGACCAAAGAAAATTAAATTTTATTTCTCAAAAATAATGTTTTCCTCCATTTCCAGTTACTCAGTCGAATGTGGTGATAACATCGTGTGTTTTCAATTTAGAATATTTGGTATTATATTGTAATTATCTGAATAGATTTTAAGTATTTTATTGAATTATTTTTCGAACTTTAATACAAACTCAAAATAATAGGATTTAACATGTTTTTTGCTACAAAAAGGATATTTATTTCCACTTAGCTAAAATATAACCAAATTCAGGGTAACTTTAGACAATCAATATTTTCCAAAAATGCTTTTTTTGCTGTCTGAGTAACATTGCAATAATACATAATAAATAATAGACATCCTTTTATTATAGTATTTTTATTATATAATGATATATGATATTATAAATATCAAAAATTATAATATCTATTACTACTGTATTATATTAATTTTTGATATTTATGGCTATTAAATCTATCAAGATAAATATTTGATATTTATCTTGATAGATTTAATAATATATTTTATTAATAGCAAATATGCAATTAATTAAACAATTTTCATTAATAACATAAATCATCTTTATATTTTTAGCATTCATAAAATGCCAAGAAAATGTTTGACAACTCATCCTGGCACAAGAAAATATGGCACTAAATCTAATTACACCAATTCTACACTTCAAGAGGCTTTAGCCAAAATTAAATTAGAAAAAATGTCGATTGGTGAAGCTTCTAAAATTTATAAAGTACCTAAAGCAACATTATTTTATAAGCTAAAAAGTAAACACTGTAAATCAGTAGGGCGCCCTATTGCCCTTAGCATTGATGAGGAACTTTGTTTTGAAAATTACTTACTTTATTTAAGTGACAAAGGAGTTAATGAATTTAAAAGTATTGTCAAAATCTATCTAGATGATAGTGGAAAAAATATACAACAGTTTAAAGATAACCAACCAGGTTGGGAGTGGTGTAAACTTTATCTTGACAGGCATCCATCATTAAAAGAAAAAGTATCTCATTGTATTTCAAGGAAACGTGCACAGATTAATTATTGTCAAATAAAATTATTTTTTCAAAATCTAGAGAAGGAATTAAATGGAGTAACGCCAGATAACATTTACAATATGGATGAAACAGGGTTTCATGATGACCCTGGAAAAAAAAAAACTTATTTTTCGTTGATCCTCTCGCCATCCAGAACTTATAAGAAATACAACAAAAACTTGTTACACTGTTGTTTTTTGTGGAAATGCCTCAGGAATACTAATTCCACCATTTTTCATTGTTAAAGGAAACCACAGTTGGTCTGACTGGCTTTTCAATGCACCAGAAGGATCAAGAATGGCAACTTCTTGCAGTGGCTGGATGGAAATTCAAATATTTGAAGAGTGGCTGTTAAATCACTTTATTCCAAATATTATAAATAAGGAAGGTAAAAAAATTCTGATTTGCGATAATTTAAGTGCTCATATATCTTTAAAAGCCTTAAATACATGTGAAAAGCATAGTATAACATTTTTATGTTTGGTACCCAATTCCACACACCTTTTACAACCTTTAGATGTTGGATATTTCTCGAGTTTAAAAGCTGATTGGAGGTCAGTTCTTAATCAATGGCGTAAAACATCCAGAGGAAAAAAGGTTAATAACCTGCCAAAAAATTTGTTTACGCAGCTCATTAAATCTACTCTTAAAGTTGGTAAAGAAAATCTAGAACATAATCTCCAAGCAGGATTTGAGGCTACTGGCATATCCATTTGTACCAGAACATGTTCTCTCCAAATTACCCAGTTTTACAAATATAAATATTCAACTCAATATTGGAGAATCGTTTAGGAATTATGTTGATGATATTCATCTTAATTATGAAGTAAGCAAAAAATTTAAGTTACCAATAACAGCAGGGAAAAGTGTATCAGCCACTGAGGTAGAAGCATACTATAAGGAAAGAGACAATAAAAAAAAAAGATAATATTCGAGCAAAGAAAAGAGGAAGACCACTTGGATCAAATAATATGGTTATGAAAATAAACCAAAAACTTAATATTTTACAAAGTTCAAGCATCGTAAATGTTAATCAAGTTATTGAAGACAATGAACGAGTTTTACCTGTATCTCAAAATGATGCAGTTTTTTCATTGGAGCAAATAAACAATTACTATGTACATGTTTTCCTTGATCATGATTATTTTGGTAAAAGAGTTAGTTGTAACTCAAGACTAAAAGAATGAAACACTGTAATATTTAGTTTTATAGTCAATGGTGTTTATTTGTGGAGAATTATATAAAAATGTCTTAATTATTTTTTCTTTTATAACCTTAAAAATTATTTTGTGAATATTTTATTGAAAAACTTGTTTGTTTATTCTCGAAATATTTTATTGAAAAACTTGTTTGTTTATTCTCGAAATATTTTATTGAAAAACTTGTTTGTTTATTCTCGAAATAGTTTAACTAGATTTTAAAAAAAAATTAATTTAAGCTAATACAAAGAAATTTAAACAACTTTTTAGATTTAAAAGATTAAAATTGACATTCAGTTTAATAGTGTTCAAAGTTACCCGAAATGCGAGGGTAACTTTGAACGCCTACTTGAACATTGTTTTTTTACATTATATCTAGCAAATTTAAAAAAATGATAACAAACTAGAAAAAGGAGATCATCAGAACACTCTTAATGTAAAAATATTTGTTATCTAGTTAGTAAAACAATTTTTGTTGAGATAAACCTAGCGCAAACCGTTCAAAGTTATCCGTAATGACTGTAAGAAAGATCGTACATATATAATATATGGCCGGAGCAAGAAGAAGACGTATATTGTCTAATCGCCAAGCCCCGTTTACATTGTTGCCTTCAGTTTATGTTACAAGTTAAAAATTACAAAATACAACAAAATGTATTACAAGTAGTAAATCGTATAATAAGATATATAAATAAACATTTTTTTTTAGTTATATATATATATATATATATATATATATATATATATATATATATATATTATTTATAGATAAGAAATAAATCAAGACAAAAATAAGAGAGTCGTGATGACTTTTTCAGTTTAATTATTTTAGGTACTATTTTTAAAAGAAATTTTTAAAATCGAAGTTTTTTCCTAATAGAAAACGTTTAGATTCTTTTTTGAATTGTTCTAGGGAGAAGCTTAGAAGAGTTTTATTTTTAATAATATTTTTCAAAAAACTTTTCTATATAAATGGTCCACAGTATTGAATTTGAAATGAGCTGAGTTTTAAATAAGATCTTGGAATAACAAACATATCAACTGAAAATTTTGTGGGGTATTTATGAGTAATTTCAGTGAAGTAAGAGTGAAATATATTAGGAGACAAACCATGTTTTGATTTAAACATTAGAAGCATAACTTGGTATATATTAATTTTATAAGCATTAAGTGCATTAAGTTCGCTTAGAAGAGATTCACCATTAACAGTTCTGTTAACGCCAAATATAATCCTACATGCATGTTTTTGTTTGCTATAGATTTTTTTAAATTTCCCATAATTAGTACTTCCCCATGCAATATTGAAATAAGAAAGATAACTTTGAATAAATGAAAAATATATAATTTTTAAAGACTCAATATTAAGAAATGGATTAATTTTATATAGCATTGAAACATTTTTGGAGATTTTGTTTTCAATAGATTTAATATGATATTTCCATGATAAATTTTCATCTATAATCACTCCTAGAAAGTTAACAGTTGACTCTCTTTTAATAATTGTTTTATTCATAAAGAGATTGGGTAATTTTAGAGAAAGGTTATCTCCCCTACGAGGTTTGTGGAACAAGATAAATTTAGTTTTCTCACCATTTAATGAAAGTTTATTATTTGTAATCCAGTCATTTATTTTTAATAATTCTTCGTTAGATATTCTAAACAGTTCTTTTATATTATTGTGTGAGTAAAAAAAATTCGTATCATCAGCAAACAAAATAACATTTAAAACTTTGGATGCTAAGTATAAATCATTAATATAGAGTAGGAATAAGAGCGGCCCTAGGATTGATCCCTGGGGAACACCACAAGTTATAATATGATTTTCAGTTTCATTTGCTGTATATAATATGCATTGTTTTCTGTTTGACAGAAAACAATGCATATTATATGGTAACTTTTAAACCATAGTAAGTTATTATTAAGTATTCCATACAGTTCTAGTTTTTTTAAAAGAATATCGTGGTTTACTGTGTCAAATGCTTTTGACAAATCAATAAAAATTCCTAATGTATAGCAATCATTATTGAACCCATTGGATATATAATTTATTAGATCGACTACCGCATGATCAGTTGAATGATTCTTTTTGAACCCAAATTGTTTGTTATACATTATATTGTTCTCAGTAAAATAAGTATTAAGTCTATCATACATAATTCGTTCTAACAATTTTGAGAAACATGGTAAGACAGAAATAGGTCTGTAATTAGACATAATCGTGTCATCGCCAGATTTAAAAATAGGTATGATCTTAGCAATTTTTAATTTCTCCGGTACAATACCGGATTCTAGTGAAAGGTTAAAAATGTAAAACAGTGACGGTTCAATAATATCAAACACTGCTTTAACAACATTCACGTTGATATTATCTATGCCAGCGCATTTATTACTTTTTAGACAGCTGAATGCATTTCGCAACTCATTTATGTTTAATTTTACTTCGGCCAATATCAAGAAAAAATTTATTGAGCTTTTTAACTATGACTTCTTTATTATAAATCATTTTCCCGTTAACTAATAGTTTTTGTGGCAAATTATTTTTTGGATATTTATTTTTACCGATTATCTGCTTAATCACGTTTCACGTCTCTTGTGTGTTTCCGCGTGTTTTTTCCAGCAACCTTGCATAATAATATTTTTTTGCATGTTTCTTTGTTTTTTTAAACGTGTTTTTATAATTTTTGTATTTTATTTCATTTTTATATGTTTTATGTTTAAAATATTTTTCATAAAGTCTTTGTTTTCTCTTTGATGATTTGTATAAACCTTTAGTCATCCAAGGGCTTAGAAGTGAATTAGGATTTACAACTTTTTTTTGTACTGGAAATGCTAAATCATAGTGTTTACAAAACTGCGCCAAAAATAGTTCATACGCATTAATCGCGTCTTGTGATTGTAATATAAGGTTCCAATCAGTTTTTTCAGATAAAAGATTTCAAAAGTATAATAAAGAGTTTTCATTGACGGAATGGCTAAGGGTTATATTATCTGTAACTAAGAATATTGGGTAATGATCAGTTATGTCGATTTTGATTATACCCGATTCTAAGAAGCAATCAGGAAAATTATTAGTGAATATATTATCTAATAATGTCGACGTGGTCTTAGTTATTCTCGTTGACTTATTTATTGTGGGAATTATATCGTGCTGAAGAAGTGTATCTAAAAAACATTGAACATTTACATTTGAAGCATGATTTAACAAGTTTAAATTATAATCACCAATTAAGTACACGTGTTTCTTTGTAATGTTAACTTTGCTTAAGAAACTTTTCAAATAAGATTGAAATCTTTTGAAATTACCAGCTGGTTTTCTATAAATAGAATTGATAGTAATATTTTTGGTTGCCTTATTATTTATTTCAATGCATAACGACTCGCAATCTATTTCGTTAACAATGAGATCATTGCGTAAAAGAAAGTTTTCTAGATTTGTGAACATAGATACTTAAACCACCACCAACGTGGGTTTGACGTGGTTGGTGAATTGACACGTAATTACTTTGCTCATAATTAGAATTTATTTCATTACTTTTCAACCACGTTTCCGTGAGACTAATTATTTTAAAATCGTGATTTAGATCATGCAATAAGAATTTTAGATTATCAAAATTTTTATTAATACTTCGAATGTTTAAGGTGATTTTCCACTCATCCGTTTTTCTACGGGAAAGGGAAAGGGAACGCAAAAATAATCACGTGAGCATGCGCAGTTTCCTTACGGACAAATAAAAACTTTTATTACGCATGCTCACGTGGTTATTTTTCCGTTCCCTTTCCCTTTCCCGGATGAGTGGAAACTCACCTTAAGATTGAAAATTGAAAAACTTTTTTTATTTTTTATTTTACTAAGAAACTGAGTAGATTCAAATATTGAATAATACTCACTTTCAAAATTTTTTTGAATGAAATAGTCATCATCACACTTTAATTCCGTCGATTCTCAGATTATTCCGCCGGGATCGATCCTCTATCTCTCTTAAATTTGTTGGTAATTTTAGAAAATGCAGACTCATTGTTTTGGGTAACGTGTGAAGTGCTCGAACTTAAAATGTTTTTTTAACATTTTCTTTATTTGTTCAATCGTAACTGCCATAATTATTTTTATATTGTATAACTATTTTTAAATTTTGTTATTTTTCAAAGTAACTTAAAACTTGGTTTTGCTTTATTTTTTCTTTTCCACGCTGTTAAAACACGTCCGATCACGTTGAAAGCCACAATCAAAAAAAAAAAAAAAAAAAAAAAATTTCACTTGGCAAATTATAAGTGAAATCACGGGCAAACAAAACTTAAAATTGTGTTCTCTACCTAAAGCTATTAAAATTAATGATAAAATAATAGATGATCCTAAAGAAATAGCAAATGAACTAAATAAATTCTTTGTTTCTGTTGGACTTAATCTTTCAAAAAACATTTCAAATATGATAAATTCAATCAATAATTATAAATTTCCTCTAACCTCTGGTCTAAGTACCTTTGAACTATCATTTTCAGAATTTGAAAATGCTTTCAAAATGCTTAAGCCCAATAAAGCAATTGGTCCAGATGATTTAAATGGAAACATTGTTATTAAGTCATACAATAATATAAAGAATACTCTATTTAAAGTTCTTAATTGTTCAATAAGTCAAGGAATTTTTCCGGCCCAAATGAAGGTTGCAAAAGTGACTCCTATTTATAAAGGTGCTGAACTAACAAATGTTGGGAATT